ACAGTTTATTATTTTTCTATTTTTCCCAGTGGCTCTCCCACAGACTGGAGCTCCACATACATAGAGTACATACATAGATACAGCATACGTGCAGGCTGACATGCAACCATGTATGCAGGTTGGGAAGGGAGGCAGACAGACATACAGACAGACAGACAGACAGACAGACAGACAGACAGACACAGACAGACAGACAGACAGACAGACAGACAGACAGACAGACTCACCCTATCAGAGTGGACCCCCACCAACAGGAAGTCCCCCAAAGCCGCCGCCTTCTCGAGAAAATCCAGGTGTCCTGTATCTGGGTCATTAGTTAAGGTCAGTGGCCGGACGGACAGACAGACAAATAGACAAACAGACAGACAGACAGACAGACAGACAGACAGTCAGTCAGACTGCATCAGCAGTCTTTTATAGTATATTGAAACCCCCTCCCCCCCCCCTTTTTTTCTCTTTACTTGTACCTTTTCTTGTAGGCCTTCTAAATAAAATACTGAAGCAAATCCAAGTACTACTTACAGAAAGACTTACCTTATCCTTCACTATACTCACATACAGCTCAACTCCGGACCTTTGAGTAACAAAAAGGCAGCTGTGAAACGGTGTAAACTGTCATTAAACAAACAAAAATCTCGGTAGTCCTCGCTAGAGAAATTTTGTAATGTTAGAGCGGGCTTAAAGACTAAAAAACATGGCGTATTGTTACAGTGGGCTTCCGGCTCCAAAATGGCGTATTGATTGCGCTGGCTTAGACTAAAAAATTACGTAGGTCTATTGCTAGATCAAGATTTGACTCAGAAATGGCGTATTGATAGCGCTGTCTTGGACTGAAAAAATGGGCCGAGAAGGATACGAAAAATGTCGAAAGCGCCGGCCACATAGACCACTGTGTCCCCTGCTTGTGGAGATTTCTGGTTGGAGAATTTGGCCATTGTTGAGGACGTGATCAGGTAGTGGCTGGACTCGAACTCGGACTCTTGAGTGTCATCCACGGAGACGGTCTGGGGAAAACGTTGTTTCATTTCACAGTCCCATTGATTGGACTTGCTTCTATACATCCGAGCCGATTATGCGGGTAAACATTTTAGTTTAGCTTTAGTTGAGGTTTTACGGCGCTCGCAACTGCCTAAGGTCATATGAGCGCCAGAATATCAGAGGTGTTACAAGAGAGTAGCAAACATAAAAAAGAAGAAGGGGAA